TCTGATTTTTGTGATTTAACTTCTCTTAATTCCTCTAAGGTTTCTTTGGCCTCTCTGAGGTGTTTATCTAAGCCTTGTACATCCCTTCTTTGCAAGCACTCATTTATTAAAGACCAGAAAGAAAATGTAATGGCTCTGAGTAAAGACTGAGCTGCTGTGCTAATTATCATTTTAGATCCTATGTGCCCCATTGGCACCTGCTTCTCCGAGGATTTTCCCCGCCAGGCGTTCCAGACAGCAGTGTCCTCCTTGTTTCGACTCAGCCAAGCCCTTTTTGATAGCAGGCTTCTTCTGATTACGCACCGCTCGCCACTACAATTTCAGGTCCCCGTTCAGGCGCCACTTGTCGCGAGCCGGCGACGCAGAGCACTGTCCAGCAGTGCCTCAAACCTGAAAGAGCAGCGGGGTGGAGATGGGGCAGAGAGAAAGGAAGGACGCCAAGACAAGAGTCTGATCAAGGCGACCTTTATTGCAAGCAAGCATCAGCCTTTTACAGGCACATCAACGGGAAACACCTGACTCCTACAGCTAACGTCAGATCTTTAACGGGAAGTACCTGACTCCTACAGATCTTTGGCTATCCGAGTTTCTCTCGTGCAGGGTCAGAAACAAGTTCAACACGTGCAGTCCTTAAAGAGGAACAAATGTTATCTTTCAAAAAGCCAGTGGGCCACGGCTGGCTTCCCACACTGAGCCGAAAAGGCCTCTTTCTCTCTTAGGTGGATCTGTCACTTTGAGCCGGAAGGTCCGGACTGCTGGGGGGTGGCAAGGCTGCCTGCCCCAGGCCCGCTCCTGCGCCCTCGCCCTTTCATCACCGCTCGCCCGGCTCCACGCGCGTCTTCAAAGTCCTTGTGCATTCGTTCCCTGGAGGCCCTGTGTTCTCTGAAACACAGGGTTCTCTTGGCTCCTCTATCCCCCATCTCCCCCTGGCTACCTTCTACTGAAACTGGAGTGTTTGGTAGACATTTTAGTTCCTCACAGAAGCCTAACCCGACCAAAGGCAAAGTCAGGGGCCCTGTCACGTCACGCACTTCCAGGCCGTCCAGCGAGAGCCTTTTGACCTAGCGGCTGCCTCTCCAGCCAGGTCATGAGCCAGCACCATCCTGCCTGGCGTCTCGTGAGGGCTAACGAGGCAGGAAAGGGCATCGCATAACATGGAGGGGAAAGTCCTCTTAAGAGCTCAACTAGAAGCAACGTACTTGAATGTCCCGGGTTGTGGAAAAGGACTGGAGAACACGAAGGACCTCAGCCCCGTGCCGCAGCACCAGCAGAAGGGCGTCCATGCCTACACATGCCGTGACCTCAGGAAGGAGGTCTGGGTGCCGGAGAAAGGAGTAAAAAACAAAAGCCCTACGGACGGGACGGGTGCAGCCTCCACACCTTGACAGGGCACAGGTGGGGAGCCCCACCCTCGACAGTCCAGTCTGCGGGGCCCTGTGCAGGAGCAGGGCCGCCGATCAGAGGGGCCAGGCCCTGCGGGGAGGTCGCAGTAGCAGCCAGTTAGTCCCAGGGTGGCGGCTGCCAGGGCAAAAACGCAGGGGGGCACAGGGCAGGGGGAGGGGCCAAGATGAAGCAGATTCGGAGAGCGCCGTGGGCAGGGAAGACGAAGATACCCACAGTCCTGAGGGGACGGGCGTCAGCAGGCCTGCAGTGGGGCTGGCAGGTCTCCCAAGAGCGCCCTCCGCAGCGGCCGCCCAGCCTGGCTTGGCGAGTGGAGGCAGCAGCTGCACCGCTGCCCCCCAGGCCTGTCTGAGCTCCCCCTTCATCCTGCCCCCTGCCCGCTCTGCTCAGACTTCCCAGCTCTACCTCAAGTTCCCTTCCAGCTGCTAAGGGGCAAGTCCTTGAGCACAGCCACCCAGCAAACGAGGAGAACTGCTTCCTTCCCGCTGTTCCTGGGCGACAGATGGGAAGACGGCAGTTCCCAAGCAGAAGAAGACTTAGTTCGGGCTCTCACAGTGCCTCGGGTAGTAAGCACCAGCCTCTCACTCTTCTCTCTGTCCCTTTTCTCTTCCACTTTTTGAGACAGGGTCTTGCTCCACAGGCCAGGCTGGCTGTAAACTCAAGATCCTCCTGCCTCAGCCTCACAAGTGCTGGGATTACATGCATATGCAACCATGCCTGGCAGAACATTTTCTCTTTAAAAACATTAAAAGTAATGTTTTTGTCCATTATTTAAGATGCTTTAGACTTTAAAATTTTATTGCCAAATACCTGTGTTCACAAAGACGAACTAAAAAACATGTTAGTAAAATAAAGCACAAATGGATACTTTACCCTTTCTCCCGGGAGGGGGAACCACTACATACATTCATAATCTACATGAATGTTGATGTAACACACATTCAGAACAGCACAGAAACAGGCAGTTTCACAATATAAACACAGCCATGTGACACCCACCCGTGTTCCTCTTCTCCCCTCTCTGCCTCTTGCTCCCTCTCTCGCCCTTCTTTCTCTATTTTTGTACAGCAGATCTCAGGACCTTCCCACTGAGCTCCATCCCCAGCCCATTTAAAAACACTTCTTTAATCAGATCCCTCCTGACTCCCAGGTAACTACTGGTCTCTTTGTTTCTTCTCCAAGTTGTTGTTTTCCAGAGTCTGAGTTCTGAACCTTGGAGAGGTTGTTATTGTCACTCACCGCTCTGTCATTTTTCCTCTTATAAAATAACTTTTAAAAAATGTTCTGCGATAGCATCTTGCTAAGTTGTCCAGCCGGGATCCAACTTGAGATCCTCCTGCCTCAACCTCTCAAGAGCATTAGAATAGCAGGTGTGTATCACCACACCCAGTCATTATTCTCTCCTCTGCACAAGTAACCCCAGGGAAAAAAAGAATTAGGAAGGCACTACTTCAACATACTAGGTAGTGGTAATGCTTACACCGTGTTGGGATGTGCTGAATGCCCAACTTGCCACTTTACAATGATTTAAATGGTAAATTCTATATTATGCACATATTACCGCCAATTTTTTAAATGACTAAGTTTTTAAGTTTTAAAAAATGTAACTGCCATTCTGAATTCTAATAGCCCAAGTCAATTCTGCCTGCTGAACTTTTTATAAATCATAAGCATTTGTCTTTTTTTAAATATATTAGTGAGATTCATGGATACTGTTCGATGTAATTGTAATTATTCATCTTCACTGCTGTATTCCATTGTATGAATGTAATGTATCATTTATCCACTCCAGAACTGATGGACATTTGTATTGTTTCCTATTTTGGATTATTAAAAATAATACTGCTATGAACATTCATACATATGGTTTTTGTTTGAGACAGGGTCTTGCTATGTAGTCCAGGCTGGTTTTGAACTCACTATGTAGCCCAGGCTGACCTTGAGCTCTTGGCAATCCTCCTGAGTACTGGGATTACAGGCATGTGCTGCCATACCTGGCTCTCTTTTTTTTGTCATTTTGTGTTTTGTACCAGGGATTAAACTCAGGACCTTGTGCTTGCAAGGCAGGTGCAGCACTGAGCTAAATCCCCATCTCCAGGCCTTGTTTTTTTTTTTGTTTTGTTTTGTTTTGTTTTTTTGAGACAGGGTCCCACATATAGTTCAGGCTGATCTTGAACTCACTATGTAGCCAGGCTGACCTCAAACTTTCAGTGATCCTCCTGCCTCAGCCTCTCAAGTGCTGGGATTACAGGCGTGCGCCACCATACCCAGCATTTTTGGTATATAAATATATACATTTATGTTGGGTATGTAACTAAATCACACACATCCTTGTTTATTTATTTATTTGGTACAAGGGATCGAACTCAGGGTCTTGCGCTTGCCAGGCAGGCATGACGCCACTGAGCTAAATCGCCAACCCCCATTCTCGTCTGTGTTTGGAGGGTACCAGGGATCGAACTCAGGACCTCGCACTTGTGAGGCAGGCGGCAGCACCACTGAGCTAAATCCCCAGACCAATTCTTGTTATATTTAGGGGAGCATATTGTTATAACTTTGTAACCTTCCTTTTTCATTGATGTTTTCTCAAACATCACCGTACCCATAAGTACCCTTTGATAGCTAATTTTTCTTTCTTTGAGACAAGATCTGCATCTGTGCTCCAGGCTGACCTCATTTATTTGCTGTTGCAACGTACTGCAGTCAGTGATATTCGGCTCTGGTTCATCCATCTCCCTGCACTCCTGGGGCAAGAGCACAGGCTACAGCTCGAAGGTAAACTGAGTCACCGCGATTGTGTACAGAGCCCCTCTTCGACGCCGCAGACTGTGCAGGAGCCTCCCACGGGGCTGGGTCTCCTCTGCCTCCCATCCCGGCAGAGCCAGCTCGGGGACACACCTGCGGGGCTGCGCGGTGCATCCCGCCCACACAGGCGGGCCTGCTCACTGACCCAGGACCTTTCGAGCGAGTGCAAATCCCCACAATCCCCTTTCCACAGGACAGGCGGAGAGGCCTGCGAAGTGTTAAACCCAGTCATACCATTTCCTGACAAGTCCTCCAGTGGTTTCTCACCACACTGAATCAAACCCAGACGGCATCCGTGGTCTCCGAAAGCCAGCCCGTGCTCTCCTGGCTGCCTCATGTCCTCCCCTCTGCTCTCCCGAGACACAGCGTTCACTCGGTTACGTGGTTCATGCTCCTCACGGGGGTTCTCGTGGACACGGAGGCACAGACCCATGCGTGACCTGCCCGGGTTGCCGTGAAGAACCGTGCTCTCGGCTGCTGTGCCGTGGCTGCCAACTCCGGGGCTCCGCCTTGGGGTAATTTCCGGTTCTCTCAGCCCACAGAGCCCAGCTCCCCGCTGGCTCCGTAGGGAGACCCCCAGCTATTGGACTCAAAGTAACTGACACTCAGGGGCCGGGGATTTAGCTCAGTGGTTCCACTGCCTGCTTCGCAAGCACAAGGACTTGAGTTCAATTCCTGGTACCAAAAACAAAAGTAACTGACACTCCAGGGACCCGGCCTTAATTGCCGACACTGACGTTGAGCCTGATTTCTGCTACTCACAGGCTTGGTTTTTGTGCAGTCCTCCCACTGGGATGGAACTGCCTGAGGGCTGCCAAGGCCGCCTGCTCCATTGCTCCACACCCGCAGACCAGCGTGGGACACCTGGAGCGCCCCTCGTGCTCACCGAGCGGCGACAGTGAGCAAGCAGCAAGTTCAGCACGGCAGTGTCAGCCCTGCAGTGACCCCAGCAGACAGAGATCTCACTCGTCCCACAGAGGCGGCTCTGTTGGACAGGCGGCCTCGTGCCAAGGCCACACATCTCGCAAAACAGAAGCAAGCAGCAGAGCCCAAGTGCAAGTCAGGGCCGACTCCCCAGGCCCGCGCCTCCCGATCCGGTCCGATTTTGAGGCTGCCCCAGCCTCTGCAATGAGCCCTTGCCCAACCTGTCCTGAGCTCAGGAGCCGAGACCAGCAACCTCTGGAGACAGCGCATGCCACCCTGCCCTGTGTGGTCTCCTACCACTCTTCCCACAGCTCTGCTCACTTCTCACAGGTCTCCTCCACCAGGCTGCTGTGATCATCTCCCGGGCTTTTAAAGCTTCCCAAAACTGGTAGTTGTTTTTAATCTTCCTTGATTGTAAAGTAAGTGCAAATTCCTAAACATGGTCTTGAACACCTGCCAAAGCCCAGCCCTGCCTGCCTTACCTGTCTTACTCAATCCCTTATGCTAAAATTTGTTTTATTTTGTTTTATATTTGAGACAGGGTCTCGCTTTATAGTTGATGCTGGCATTGAACCATGTGTCCCAGGCTGGCCTCAAACTTGGCAGCGATCCCCCTACCTCAGCCTCCCAAGCCCAGGGATGACAGGAGTGTGCCACCACGCCCGGCTTCTCTTACTCTAGAAAAAGCATTTCTTTCCATTCCTTCAGCTTGCCATAGTCTCATCTCAAGAGCTCAAGGTTTGCCGCCCTGCCCAGAAGGTCAACTCTCCTCTTCCCACCCGCAGTTGTAGTTGCACCTGAGGGTGGTGAGTCCTTGTTCAGGAACAGCTCCCCAGGTCCCTGGTCTTGCTCTCCTTCAGGGCACTACAACTACAGTTAAGTGATGGCGTATGCAACAATCCACAGACTGTCCGGCCTCCTTCCAGGCTGAGCACACGGAAAATGTGAGGACGCGGGACCGGGCCATTTCAGGTCACTCCCCAGTTCCTCACCTACAGTAGGTGCTCAGTAAAACGTGCTCCCCTTCTTCCATATTTAGTCAATGAGCTTTGAAGAGTCCACATTTATCATGTTCATTTCCCCCAAAAGAATGGAAACCTCATCACGGCAGGGATTTTTGTTTTAGTCACTGCTGTCTCCTTAGCACCCATGCATTCATTAAGTGACTATATCCACCACGTCACTCCCATTGCTACCCTCTCCGGCTCAGCTGGACACCACCTGACATCTAGGCATTGCAGATATGACTCACGCGGCTTTAGGGGCCAAAGGGCTCTCCCAGCTAGAGCTGAGGTGCTGGACATACCAGAAAGAAGACCCACCTCATTCCAGTGGTCAGGACTTGGGTGTCCGCAGTGCAACATCATGGATTCGCTCATCCTGCCGTTTTCTTCCAATTAAATGGCTTATAAGGGATGGAGCGCAGGATCTTCTGGATTTCTGCGTAAGGGCTAGAGACAGTGACTGTGAAAAGCTCTCCAGGAGAGCAAGGGGAGGCTGAGAGGGACAGGAGGGCACAGACTGGGACAGGGCCCCAGAACTCTGCTCACTATCTGTGTATCTTTGAGCAGTGACTAACTTACTTTCCTTGTTGCTGGGACAAAACACCTGATGCTGCACTAAAACGAGGCGAGGTTGGTTGCGGCTCGCGGACTTAGTTTCAGTCCAACCCCGGCAAGTTCAGCATAGAAGTGGCAGGGTGGGAGGGCCTGGGTGGGAGCTGCTCGTGCCATGGTGGCCAGGGAGCAGAGAGCGAAGGGGGAAGCCTGGGGGCTTTGCTCTTCCAAGCCACCCTCATCGATGCACCTCTTCTGACCAGACCCCACCTCCGCACAGAGAGTCCCCTACAGCACCCTCAGGGTTCAACCGCCTGCTAGAAGTCCCACCTGTGAGTTTGTGAGGCCTTCAGAAGACATTCTTGACCTGAACCATAACATTCTGCCCCTGGCCCCCAAAACACTGATGAGCATTTAGTCTATCCCTAAGCACTGCCAAAGTCTTAACAGTTTCAGCACTGCTTAAAAATCCAAGTCCAAAGTCTCCTCTGACACTCAAGGCAAACTTTAGCTTTGAAGCCCTGTAAAAAGAAAACAGAAAGCTAAACACTTCTAATATACTATAGCACAGGGTAAACATTCCCATTCTAGAAGGGAGGAATGGAGGATAGAAAGCAATAGAACCAAAGCAAGACCAAAACCCAGCAGGGCCAACATTAAATCCTGTAGCTCCAAGCCCAGCATCTGGGGTAGAGGTGTAAATTCCAAATGGCTTGGGCAGTCCCACCCTCATGGCTCTGCTGCTTGTGGCCCTCATGGCTTCTCATGTTAGTTTTACTGCTTCAGCTTTTTTTTTTTTTTTTTTTGTACCGGGAATTGATCTTGGGACCTTGTGCTTGCAAAGCAAGCAGCAGAACCACTGAGCTAAATGCCCGGCCCTACTCCTTGCAGCTTTCCTCAGCCAATCCATGTTCCTGGCTTCGCCAGTTTCCTGGGGTCTTCACTGTACTTTTGGCTTTACACCCACAGCTTCACATACTGCCTTCTCAGGGGCACGCTGCCTGCCTTCCAGGCCTTCTGAAATCTGAATGGGTGCCCCCGACCGCACAACCCTGCATTCTGTATGCCCATAGAACCAGCACCATGTGGATGAGACCAAGGTCTGCCGCCAGCTGGAGCAGAAGAGAACCGCCCCCCTCGGATCACGGCTGCAGAGGCCGATGAGCTCCTGCGGGGCTGAGCACTGTGCACTGAATCCTGGGAGATGAATTCTCTAGCCGGCCTCCTCCAGCTGGATGCCCTGGGGCTCTCTTCTCAAAGCAAGGTCTTTCACTTTTGACCCTTGAGCCTGTGAAGGGTGGGGTCTTGCTTCTGCCCTCAAGGACATTGTCCTAGCTAAAATTCTCAGCGACCAAGCTTTCAGAAAAACTCTAGAGGCCCCAACTTGACCAAACCTTGCATTCTGGCCACTAGCAATATTTTTCAAATTATTCAGCTTTGCTTTTGGGGCCTCCTTCTCAGCCATAGCCCTAACACTGGGATACCTTGAAATTTTCTCTACCAGATTGGTCTGCAGCCCTTAACTTGTTTTCCACAAAGTTTCAGGACATGGACAAATACAGACAAATTTTCTGCCAGAGTATAACACACATGGTCTTAAGTCCAACTGCCAATGGAGTCCTTGTTACCAACTGAAACCTCCTAAGTCTGGCCTTTACCAACTTTTCTTTCTTTCTTTTGGTACTGTGGATCGAACTCGGGTCCTTGTGCTTGCAAGGCAGGCAGCGGAACCACTGAGCTAAATCCCCAGCCCTATCATCTTTTCTATTCACATTTTCATGAGCATTTTAGTCTTCTACGCTCTGACCAGAATCTCCCATCAAGCTCAGCTTACAGAATTCTAGAGCTTCTCCAGCCACCATCCCCAAATCTTTCTACATTGCTCCCACAGGCCATTTCCAAAGGCCTATGAACCACGTGGCCAAGTATAGTCATGACAACTACTCCTGGTACCAACACCATCATTACTTACTTATCCCTGAGACACAACATCTGACACCTACAATTTCAAAGGAGAGGTTTATTCTGGCTCATGGTTTTTAGAGGGTTCAGTGTGTAGTCAGCAGGTTCCAAGGCAGGAAGACACAGTGGGAGGGTCTGGGAGAGGAAAGCTATCCATATCATGGCCCCCGCAGTAGGGGTGGTGGACAAAGACAGAGAGGGAGAGAGGAAGACTTGGGAGGGAGACAGACCCTTCCAGGTCCTGCCACCAGTGACCGTCCTTTCCCCACCAGGCTCCACCCTCAACAGTACCCTTCTCTGGGAACTCATCCCCGGATTATTTCACCCATGAGCACAGAACCCCAGGGAGCCAATCACCTTTTTAAAGCCCGCCCCTAAGCACAGCCCTTTGGGGGCCATGCTAGACCTAAACCCTAACAAGTACTCTTTTTCTTGTTTGTAAAACAAGGATAAACCGGGCGTGGTGGCGCACACCTGTAATCCCAGCACTCGGGAGGCTGAGGCAGGAGGATCGCTGTGAGTTCGAGACCAGCCTGGGCTACACAGTGAGTTCCAGGTCAGTCTCAACTACACAGTGAGTCCCTGTCAAACAAAAAACAATATATATATGTACATCTATCTATCTATAGATAGATAGATATAGACACACATACACACACACACACACACACACACACAAGGATACACATACTTAATTTGAAACATTGTTGGGGTTTAGAAATATTTGGGAAAGACCCTGGCCCAGGAAACGCTCAATGTAAAGTCTTACTATAGCCTTTTACGCTATGTTCAGGCAACCCAGACAAGATGAACAGTCCCCAAGAGAACCAGGAGCACGCACTCTCCCCAAATATCAAACTTGGCCAAGGAAGGCCTCTGCAAACGCCAGGGGACAGATGAGTATCTTAGCAAAGGAACCAAGGTACAGTCAGCTTCCAACGCCGGCTTACTCATTTCAGTACAGATGAAAGAGGCTGACACGGCCGGCCAGTGGCTCAAACTCCAAGTCAACCTTGCCGAATTCATCAGCCCTACCGCAGGTGGACACCTGCCCCTGAAAGAGGAGCTTCCAGCTCCAGACATCTGAATCTTAGCTACGTTTGTCCTTTGTCACACTGCCACCTAGCGACAGCCTGGAGGTCCTGCCACGTACTCCCTAGAGCCGCCAGGTCCACTGCGACAGCGTTAGCTCTAGGCTTGGTATGGGGAGCGGGACCTGCCCATCTGTCCTCTTCCATCCTACTGACAGATTAATGTTTTTTCCTTGATTCTGGGCAGGAAGCCCATGCAATTCCTCTCCAACCTTGTCCAGACCTGGGTTCGGGGGTTCCCAGGGTCTGAAAAGAGCCAAAGATCAGCTGACTACCCTGGGGGGACCTGTAACTCACAACTTGTTTCCCCGCATCGAATCCTTGCGAGTTCGCCAAATGGGCATCCTCCCCCTTGGAGCCTTTGTACGGACGTGGTCACTCAGGCTCAGCCGCAAAGTGGCCAAGCCCGAGACCGCGCACGGAGTCGGAGGCTGGGGCCGGGAGAAGCTAAGCCTCGCGGGTCTAGGCTCCCGGCTCCTTCCGGGGACACGGCGCTCCCACGGAGCCCAGAGGTCGGGCACCCTGCGCAGGG